ATAATATAATATTAAAAATGAAAATAAAAAAAATACCTTATTACAAAATAAAAAAAAAAAACTTAAAGACAAGGGTTTTTATAATAAAACCGGTTCAAAAAATCCTCAAAGAGCCAGTGAAATAGTCATTGCAAAGGGGACAACGCTTAGGTTCCAAACGATTAAGACAATCTTCACATATTATTTTATGGCCACAGGGTATTAAGGCGTATGTTCTTTCTTCCACAGTACCTAATAGGCAAGGGGAGCGGGGATAGGACTATATAAGAGAGATCCCGAAACGGCCTGTAATCAGACGTGTCCACCAAGTTCTAGAGTGAGAAAATTCACGTTACTTTGTGTAATTACATTGTCAAATTAGACTTAGCACAATTTACAGAAGAACATTTTTAAGAAACCAAACTATATTACACTTGTCTACGATTATTTCAACAAACACCTTTATCTTCATCAACATTACGGTCTTGCTACCTGCATCGTTAATATTTAAGTAGTCATCAGACTACCAGAATATTGCAATATGATGTTGATGTATTAACCATTAATGTATGCTTCTATGCTAGTATAATATAAGTTAAGAATAAATATCATTAATATGACAATAGCTGTATATTATTTATATTGTCCTAAAATGAAAGGACACAAATATGAATTAGGTACAATTACCTGAATTGAATACAAAATTATTCATCAATTTTTTATATTTTTTTAATTCATTGTTTTGAACATTTTTCTCCGTCTTTTAGATATGCATCACTTTCAAATTGTCTGATAGACATGTTTTTTTTTTTCAAAAGTCAATAAAAGATAGTGTAGGTAGGTAGTAGGTACCTAATTTATATTTTTCATAAGCAAATGAAAAATTAATATAATAGAGTTTGTAGAGTAGTGTTAAAAAATAAAACCGACAAAAGTACAAAATAACATATCTGAAACCAATAACATTGCATCAAGGTATGTCCGTAAATTATAATCCGTTTATATTTTAGTTACCATCTCAATTATAAGACTTTTTCACTAATATAGTAGGTACCCGATACCTATTTAGGGGGCGTTCATGGGGCGTTCATGGGGCGTTCATGGGGTGTATTATATCGAAAAAAATGACTTTACGGGAATAACTCTCAAGCTTTGTAGAATTGACGGATTTTGATAACTATTTTTTTTATCTGAAAGAAGAAGACTTCCTATAGCTCTCACCGATCTCTGATTTTGTATTTTATTTCAAATAATTGTAAAAAAAATTTGTTAAAAAATGTTTTTTATCTTGTATTTTTTTAGACATATTATTAAGTTTGAGAATAAAACATTGAAAAACAGAGATCGATGCGGACTGTACAATATTTCCTCCTAAAAATTAAAAAAAAAAAATTATGAAATTTCGTTGATTCTACAAGGCGGTATCGTTATTCCCACAATGTATTTTTGATGACAAAATGGCATCGCTACCGGGTTATCTTATTGGTTTGTCCAGCAAGATACTGCACTATAGCGCGACTGAGCGAGCCTCTGAGCAGTCTGAGGTTAAATAAATAGTACGAATATACGAAAATTTAGGACTTCAACCTGAAGCCTACTCTAATACAACCTTGGTCTTGAGGCCCCGATGAAATACAACCCCTGCGGCCTGCACCCCCTCTAAATCCGGCATTGGACTGTCGTCTAAAAATAACGAATCAAGGAATAAAGAATTATTTTAGCAGAAAAAAAAATTAATACGAATTATGATTTCAATAAATACAATTTTGGAAATTCAGTAAAATCTCTGAACAGTATAAATCATTTCAGAACTGCGGGGCCTTATAACTATAATTTTAAAATCGTGGGGACCGGGGCAACTGCCCCGACTGCCCCCCCCCCCCTCGCGCCGTCCCTGCTGTAACTGGATATACTGGAACTACGTATTTGGACGAAATTACATATTAAAAAACCTAGAATAACTATTTTAGTTATATTGTTGTGATTGAATAATATTATTCTTGGGTACTTGAAACTTCTAAAGTATACTATTATATATCTATGATAATATCACGGGTTTTGTTGATGTATAATGCGTTATAAGTACCTAATGGATATTGTGATATGATTAATTTGGAATTTATTATAGGTACCTATTATAGGTCAAATTTTGGTTTAGTACCATAGATATGTATATAATATTTCTTATACCTAGACTGACATACCGTCTCCGCTCAGAATCGTTTTTCTTATACAATGATATTATATCGTTGAATTCAAATTTAATATCATCCATTATACAGTGACCCACTTTTAACCTACTGTACAGCAGAGCGACACCCACTTGCCTACCTTTTTTAATGATTAATTTTAGTTATATATTTTCTATTTTAATTATGATCCCATAAAGTAAAAATTAAAATTGAAAATTTAAAGTTATATTTTTTTACTGTGAATTATAGTCAACCAAAAATCAAATACTTCAACAAAGGAAACACATAGTATGTTAAAGTTCCACCAATGTTACCAAAGAATTTTTCATATAATGATATTAAAAATTTAATAAATTTTCATTTTGTTCTCGATTACTGTAAAAAGTAATGAGCATTTTCAACTGCGCCTCCCAAAATTACCAACTAGTTCAAATTATCTTGTAATACCTCCAATGAAGTTGATGATCAGAGCATTTTTTCTACAAGAAATTTAGAAATGTCAAGAAGTTAAAGTTGTACAAACTCTTTTGAAATACCTCACCTAAACGTCTGAAATTATAAGACTGGACAAAATAAAAATAAAATTGTAATTGTAATTATTAATTTGCATTCCCCCCTCACATCCATTGAAAATTCTGCGTTCGTAACTATTGTGTAGTTATAAAAAAAAGTTAAGCAAAAATCTACTATAATATTTAATGAGGGTCTGAGATTAGAATTTTGATGAATTTCTTATAAGTTAAAAAAAAATTAATAAAAATCAAACTTTCTTATGCCTATAACTCAAAAAGTCAAAATATTTTGAAAGAACAATCAAAAGTCTTGGGTCCAGATGCAAAACTCAAAAGTGGGGGTGCCAGGGAAATGTACCTTTAGTAGTATCATATTATATGCATATTTATATTGAGCTGTTTATAGTTTTTCTATCTATTTTCGAATAAGTACATATTTTTATAGCTACTTCCCGTAGTATTGTTTGTCTCTACAAATAGTTATATTAATTATAATAAAATAAAAATGTTATGTTTAATAGATATATTGTAAAATGCTTTAAATTTGATGGTTGTAATAATATAGTTTTCATGAATAAGAATGAATCTGTTATATTATGTTACAATGTTAGCTTATCAAATCACTGAATATATAAAATTACCATTATATATTAGAAAAAAAAATGCAAATATATTTTTTATAAACGTACTGAATAATAAAATATTTTAACCATATATATATATATATCATATAATATGTACCATTAATAAAAAATAATAAATATTATAGGTAACCTAGTAACAATTTAAAATTCTAAAACGTTGTTCAACAAAAACAATACTTAACAAATTCCAATATAACATTAACAACAATTTATTGCTTGTTTTACACACATTACTAAGTGATTATCATTTATATTAGACATACATTAATTCCCTAAAATAAATTAAAGTATCAATACAACATTTTTTTTTAAACAAATTAAAAATGGTAACTTTTAGTGAAATATTATAAATAATGTGTTAAATATTAAAATCAAAAATTAAAATGTGTAGTACTTAAATTACTCATTTGGGTGTACAATTGATTATAGGTAATTCAAATTACTAACTGGAGTATGAATATATTTCAATATTCATATTTTTAATACTTAAGCCAATTAAAATATAATACTAGTTAAAATTCAAACTGATTATTTTAATTTCATGGGTCATATCACATATTGATATAATAGGGCATGTCCAAACTACATTTTAAAAATTAGGTAGTAAAAATGAAACTAATATATTTAACATTATACTGTTATTGAATCTACATACTAAATATTATAGTTTTTGTTTAAACTCTTAAAATTACTAATTGCTATATAATTATGACATGTTGACCACATGTCATAATTATATTATGAAAATCAGTCAAAATTAGTATTAAAATAAAAAAAATTACCATGGTTCTTGGTTCTACTTGTTGTAGTCTGTAGTTGTTTACTAGTTTTTTAAATCTCTAATTTATTAGAATTAATAATTAATATCTTTAAACCCCAACCAAATTGTATACCATAATAATTACCAGAATAACATCTTGATAAAATATAAATAAATCAGAAACTACAAAACATTATATGATGTTATTAAGTACTTATTATCGGTCATATTACCTAATACCTACAAACATTTTTTTAAGAGTTTAATCAAAGCTATTAAAAGGATAAACATCCATGTATTAAATTCATATACAGTATACTAATATGTATTTTCGTACACAATTGTACTGCTAATTTTTTTAATAAAGTCAAAAAATATCACATATATGTTTTAAAGAAAACTAGAATCTCTATTATGTTAATTGTAAAATAGGTTCAAGTTAAGCCATATAAATTAGTATGAATGTTATGCTAAAATTTGACAGGCTAACACAATAGAAAGAAAATTATAATTTAAAAATAATAAAATAGATACTAATATTCTAATATGTCCCTAAAAAGGCTGATATCTTTGAGGTAAACATTGGAAAAATAAATAACTGCTCTGATTTTCACTGAAAAAATTTCAAGTGGATTAAATATATGTTAAACAGCATGAGCATTAATTAAATTAGATTTTAAAGAAATCGGCTAGTAATATATATATATAAATGAATTACACCACCAAAAAAAATGGTTAGTTGACTAACAAGGAGCGTAGCAAATTAACATTTTATATCACTGATAATAACAATTAATAATTATTTGACTAATTAAATATGCATTTAAGTTAATATCACTTTTTCAAAACACAAGTGAAAAATCACATTGTGCTGTGCAATTATAAATAAAGACCAAACATAAAATTTGGAGATTCATTTACAATGACTTGATTTTGAATCAGCCATACCAGATTTTGATATTTCAGCAGCATCTCTAGATTGATAAAAAAGTATATAACCAGTTTCTGACGACTTCTGTAAGTCTGACGTGAGACCATAGAAATCTTCAATAGCAGATTGATCAATTTTCTATTGGAAAGGAAACAAGATATTAATTAAAGTTGTACAATTACTATTTAATAGATTATTAAATAAAATAATTAAAATCTTACATCAACCATATCATCGTCAAACAGTAGCCAAAAATCATGACTTTTAACTATGCTAATGTAATGACCTCTATTTGGCCCACTGCCACAATGTATAACTACAGCTACAAGATTGTACATTCTGTCTGGATTAACAGCATCATCAGACTGTAACATTATTGTTATTGTTATTTTATGTCAACAATATTATTATGATAGTCAATATGCATAATATGCAAATAAATAAAAAAATTACCGTATTAAATAATCTAAGTTCTAAAGGGAAAACAACTCTATGAGATACTTTTATATGCCTATTAAATTGTTCCATGTATTTGAATCTTTTCAAATGCAATGCCAATATCATAGGTAATTTTTTGACCCGCATACATTTCTAAAATATCCATAATATATTACACATATTAGATAATAAAAATAAATACATTATTACCTGGGCTTCTTGATAGCTACAGCAATTGTCACACTTAAATTTATTATCACTACAAAGCATTTCTGTATTGCTAAAACAACGTAAACAATGTGTAATACTAGTATTTTGATCTATATCTACTTGGAGGTCGAAAAAGTCTTCATCTTTACTGCTGACCTAAAATAAATATTATAGATTAGTTTAATTCAATAAAATTGTAATTTGTAATACACCTACTTCTTCGCAGTTTAAACATCTAGTTTCACTCGTTAGTATCCCTTGAAATATTTCATGTACCCAAGTTGGATCTTGATTATGGCTACTTGAGCTAGTGATGCTACTAGTAGTTGATTCTCCATCAACAATATTAGGTGTAATTGATTTAGATTTACCATTACAATTCGTTTGGTTACGTTCAGCTTTATACATAATTTGTAATTTATTATTAAAATTCTTATACATTCTAGATGTATCAACAATTTAATTTACTTACAAAGAATAATCTCATTAATATGATTTATAAGGAAGTTTAAAAATTCATGAGCATCTTGTTGCATATAGTTATTGAATTCTTCTGTAAATTAAAAAAAAATTCAGACATTGATTACTGTGAAATAAATTTAACTACAATAATTAATACCTTATAAACAATTTAAAATATACATGTATTTTTCACATTCAAGATGTGAAAATATTAAATGTTTATTGACAATGGTTTTTAATTAAAAATTACTTCATGTTGGTATAATTATTTATTATTAACTAGGTTTAGATTATATAGAATATACAATGTGCTGTAGTACCTTTCTCTTTTCGAAGTCTATTTATAAATTTTTTGGGGGCTATGGACCCAACTTTCTTTTTTTGAGTAGCAATACTATGAAATAGATCAGCTAAACATGTGAGCAATGTTTCTTTATTTCTTTTATTACGAGCTTTGTATTCTAATACTTTGTCTCGAAAAGGTTTACAAAAATAAAGAGCTTGAAGAACTGAATTACTGTAGCATGTATTTCCAAACTGAAAAAAAAATATGTTTATTAAAAAGGTAATTTTAAATACATAAAAACTATTTTAATTATTTAAACTTTGTATAGTTTCAGATAAAATATAACATCATAAAATATCATGGAGTTGAAATTAAGTTTGCATAATAAAAATTATTATAAAAAAATCAATCATTAGCTGATTAAAATAATATATATAATTTATACAAAGATGACCAATATTATATTTCTTTTCTTTTCCGTATAAAATGCTATTAAAACTAGATACTCATAAAAGTAATTTAAATTAAAAATACTTGTTATTAATATTCAATATCAATACTAAGACATTATCTAATAAAACTAAACCATCTTTATACATAAACACTATTCAGCCATGCCATACCAGGTTATTTAACAAGGAAATTTGCAAAATGTGGTAAAGTGAAAATGTTTAGTTTTATTTTGTATTCTGAGCGATAAATGTATTGATTTTAAAATTACTTTTTGTCTGTGAACACTTTTTATAGAAGAAGAAATACTTCAAATTTCTACTTCAGCATCTTTTCTTATAAGAAAGTAAATCAAGTTGGTACTTTGAGGGTTAAAAGTATAAAATCCATACCAGTTTTCCAAAGCGTCGTGAAAACCCGCCCAAAAAATTAAGAAAAACAAGACATTTTATGTAAAACCAGTTTTTGACAAAGTTGATTTTATTATATTGGTGTTACTCAAAAACAAATGACCGTAGATTTTTATCCAAATGTTTGTGCTACCATTTTCAAATTATGATAAAATTATTCTAAAATAATTAAAAAATGTTGAGCTTTTTATAAACATGAATTTTTTACTTTAATTAGTTTATTATTATTATTGTCAAAAATAATTTGTTGCTAGGTCAAAATCCTTGAAAATTGAATACAAGATTTCTCATAAATTGTAATTTGTGTTATTATAATTTAAGTCGAGCGTAAATCTACAAATATTTTTTAATGAGTGTTCGAAGTTAGAATTTTGATGAAATTTGTCAAAATCGGGAAAATGTGCAAATTATTTTGATGTAAGAAATTAATGAAAATTTTTCTTTTCATATCTAAGATTGGTAAATTAAATACTAGATTCCGCATAAGTTTCCTACCTTTAAAAAAAGAAAGTTTAGTAGAATGTCACATCAATTTTTAATGAGTGTTTGAAGATGACATTTTTACAACATTGGATATTTACTCGTAAAATAACTATTACTCCTCAAACGTTTTTTGATAATTTGTTGTAATTCAAAAATATATATCACTAAACACTAGAAATTTTCATTAAAAATGTACATTACCATTTTCTATAAACAATATAATTTTCAAAAAACAATTTTTGAACAATTTACAGACATTTGACATTTCTTTCCTACTGTCTTAAAAAAATGTCCGCTCCTTCAAAATGCTTGAAAATATAATACAAGGTTTCTTATATGCTTTTGCTATAGCCATTTAATAATAGTAATGATACATAATATGCAATACATTTTTTTCATGCATTTGAATTTTGACAAATCACAAAAATTATTTTGTATTTATATGTTATAAAATGTTAAATTTTTATACTTTAGACTAAAAATATTAATACAAGTTACCTAATAAATAGTTCATATAGAGACTAAAAATTCTAAAGAGTATACATCCACAATTTTTCTTAATAGACATTTAAAGTTCAAATTTGGGCGAAGTTACATAAAATTTAAACAGAATAATAATATTAGTTACTTTATTGTAATAATTCAAAAACATTATTTGAGGGGACTTAACACTTTCAAGTATATTATAAATTGTATTTTAAGCAATGATATTATTAAAAGATTTAAATTAATTTTAAACAATTATCTATTTATACCATGAACTTATTTACTGTTCCTAAGGTAAGTGTTATTGACTCCAAAATTAACAACAATAATATAATATAAAATATATACACTACTATAACAATTAATAATATAATAAATGCAGTTTTCTGCAAAAATGAAATCAACTAAAGTAATAATACTAATAAAATGAATTACTTTAATAGTAATATCAAAAAACATCTAATCAAATATAGGTACTTGATATAGTCATCCATTAAAGTGAGCATAAAAATATTTTATAAAAAAAAATTATCAATTATTTAACAAAGATAATTACATTAACTAAACCAAAATAATGCTCATTTGGAGGAAACTGATCTGATCCGATATCTCTTTCTAGTTGTGACACATTACCGCCCTAAAACACAACATTAAATATTAATAATGTTATATTACACAACTAAAAAAATACAAAAATTATATTGTACTACAAAGATCTTTCCAATTATATAATTTTTGTCTTACACATACACTTATTGTGTAAGGATTGTACATTTGTAAATACACTGATGTTAAAAAGTATAAAAAGTTAGGTACCTAATAAGTTGACATATATATTTAATAAAATGTTGATGAAAAATTAAATACATTTAGATAATGTATTTTGATTGATATATTATTAAAATCTACCACAAAACCAATTAAATAAAAATAAGGTTATAAGTGTAAAAAAAAGTTACAACTTGCATGAACTGTTTAAAAAATATATACTCTTCAATATTTCTCAACATAGATTAGTGTTTACTTGTTCCATTTAAAATGAAAGTTACTTAATGGTTTTATTTTTTTAAAACAAGCAGTCTTCAATTTTAATAAATAGGTACCTACATTTAAATGTAAATAAAATATTAAATAAATATTTTGTTTGAAGAAAAAAATTGAACTAAATTATAGGAATATACAGACAGGAAGTGCTATAGTGGTACTTTTCAAAGTACTTGAATGAAAAAAATAAGATAAAAATATATTGAACACAAATATTACCATATTACAAGACAACTTTTCAGTGGTGTAAGTAAGCCATCACTGAAAAATGAACTTTAGCGCTTCTCCGAAAACCGAATACGTATGTCCGTACATTTTACATTACACTGAATATATAAATCAGTCTGTTGTATTTCGGTGAGAATTCGACTGCATACAGAAGGTAAGAACCGTATGGGCTCGCGCGAAATTAATTATTTCGAGTGCATTCGCTCTTCACTGTCGTAGAGTGTAGACAGCTTAACTCTGTCTTATCGAATATTGGCTATCGACTTATCGGCTATCGCTGTTAATCAACATTACAACTATCAGGTAACAAGATAAACAGAAAGTCTTATGCAGTGTGGCAAACGATGAATTCGGAAAACGACCGGGCGGCGTACAATATAATAACATGACACCATGAATTTGCTCCCCTCTCCCCTTTTTTTATCATTATAATATATATTTAGTATATTATATTATAATGTTACTCAAATGTTAGAGTGTACCTGTTTTATAATATTATTACTCAAATGTTAGAGTGTAGTAGTGTACCTGTTTTATAATATTATATGGGTGTTATATTACTATTATACAAATGTTATGTTTTGTAATTATTATGCATATTGCATAGGTATTATTTTTTTTTTATAGTGTATTACCTATACTGTATTGGGAAGTTACATATTTTATGTAAATAACTAGCTCTAAGTGTAACTCGGTGCTCGTTGGACTCACTGGGAGTGGGTACCGATTTTGGAGACAATGAATTATAAAAGTCGCAAATGTAAGACGAAAGTTTAGAATTTGTGATAAAGATTAGTGATATGGATTGGAGATAAGGCTAGACGCTTTGGCGGGAATGTTAAAAGTTTGAGCGTCTAGCAATCCGTCACAAACGTTGTAAATGGATAGGCTGGATACGATCTCCAGGATCATCTATATACTATATAGACTCTATAGAGTATACCTGCACATAGAGTGGTATGTGCCGTAGCATGACCGCAGACCGGTGCTTTATCTTATGTAAAAAGTGTAAAGTCGAAAACCGTGTTGGAGTTTCTAGCAAGTCAGTCATCTCAAGACAAAATCTATTAACTTTCAAGTTAGCCACTTAGGTAGGCAATCCGACTTCGTCGGATCGCGGACAACGTGCTACAAAAAATCAGGTAGGCAATCCACCTGCGGTGGATTGCAGACCCGACGTCAAGCGGCTATAAGTGAAAACCCTATCACACAACTTACGAAATAATTTACGAAAAATTCAAAACTATATACAATATACATACAAACAAATATGATATGTATTTATTGTGTGATATAATATAACAATGAACACTTTGAGAAATGTGCAATTATAATTCCTAAAAAAAATTAACATATAGGTAGATAGTTAGATACATACTATTATATTAACCAATACAATACATATAAACATTACTTATAATGTATAAATATTAATTTAAAAAAAAAAAATGCAAAAACCTGCATGTTAAACTGTTAAAGTGTCTGTCAAGTCAATCATCACCGTTTAAGACGAAACTAAAATGAGCAATCCGTCTATCACCTATATATAGTAGGTATATCACATAGAGTGGTATGTGGCTTCGCATGTCCGGTGCCATTCCTTATGTAAAAAGTGTAAAGTCGACAACCGTGTTGGAGTGTCTAGCAAGTCAGTCATCTCAAGTCAAAATCGATTAACTTTCAATTTAGCCACCTAGGTAGGCAATCCGAAATAAAATACAAACTATATTTATATAACAATCATGAACTTTTTGAAAAATATGCAATTATAATAATTCCTAACAAAACAAATATAATATGTACCTATTTATTGTGTGATATAATATGACAATAACTTTAAATAATAAATGTACCTGTATGTAATGTACCTGTATTATTATATTATTATTTAATTTATATGAAAAATAACGTGAAAAAAAAATGCAAAAAAAGTCAGGTTCCGGGCGGCCGTGTAGACCTTATGGCCACGCCGGAGCCGACGCTCGGGCAGCGTACGACGGATTCGAACCCGGGACCTACGTGTTTCCTACCTAAGGCCTAACCTACTTGGACACTGTTTGAGATGTGAACTTCAATCAAAACATCAACACTTAAGCCGTGCGTCTACGGAACGACGTAAACCGATATATTCGATGTACATCGATGTAATTCGCTTGTAATACGCGCATCTCCCATATATATATTTAACGGGGCGTGTGAAAAGCGTTTTCCGTTAATAATAATTATTACATCATAGGGAAAAATTAAATTATACACTTATATATATGTATATATACGCGTACTGTAGGTCGGTCGCCGGCGTAATTTCTAAACGCGATTGCGAGGCGAACGAACCGATTTCGGGGGAAAAGCCCATATAAACGGCTTTAAAAAGACGTGGACTACACGATTCGGGCACAAACGGCGTGCGAATAGATGAAACGGTGGGAGAAAAGGAAAAAATCGGCAAAAATGTCCGGTCGGGAGTGTATTTTTCGATCGACATTGCGACCGCTTTGAACGGCGCACGAATATAAACCGCACACCGGCGGCTTCGAATTAAGTATAAAAAAGGACGGAAAGGGTCGAAATCGTGTAAAAACAGCTAATTTTCCGAAAATTTCAAAAATCGGCGAGATGATAGGATTTATAGGAAAAGAGGTGATAACGAAAAACGTTTTAAAACTGACTGCCGCCGCTGCGAAGGTACGCGATTGGTCGCGCTATAAGGAATCGACGGGACATGGCCGGGCTGGGGAAACGGAGCGGTGTTTCATTTTTTACGCCACGGTTTCACTATAGCCTGCGTTTTCCTTTCCATTGGTACACTATAGACAGCTGATTTCCTTGTCATTTTATACTAGCTCTAAGTATAACTCGGGGCCCGTTGGAATCGCTGAGAGTGGGTACCGATTTTGGAGACAATGAATTATAAAAGTCGCAAAGGTTGTAAGACGAAAGTTTAGGATTTGTGATAAGGATTGGAGATAAGGCTAGACGCTTTGGCGGGAATGTTAAAAGTTTGAGTGTCTAGCAATCTGTCACAAACGTTGTAAATGGATAGGCTGGATACGATCTCCAGGATCACCATATAGAGTATACCTGCACATAGAGTGGTATGTGCCGTAGCATGACCGGTGCTTTATCATATGTAAAAAGTGTAAAGTCGAAAACCGTGTTGGAGTTTCTAGCAAGTCAGTCATCTCAAGTCAAAATCTATAAACTTTCAAGTTAGCCACTTAGGTAGGCAATCCGACTTCGTCGGATCGCGGACTATGTGCTACAGCAAATCAGGTAGGCAATCCACCTGCGGTGGATTGCAGACCCGATATCAAGCGGCTATAAGTGAAAACCCTATCACACAACTTACGAAATAATTTACGAAAAATTCAAACTATATACATACAAACAAATATGATATGTATTTATTGTGTGATATAATATAACAATGAACATTTTTAGAACATTTGCAATTATAATTCCTAAAAAATATTAACATATTGGTAGATATTTAGATACATACTATTATATTAACCAATACATATAAACATGTACCTATAGTGTATATATATTAATTTAAAAAAAAATTGCAAAAACCTGCATGTTATTTGTTAAAGTGTCTATCAAGTCAATCATCACCGTTTAAGACGAAACTAAAATGAGCAACCCGTCTATTACCTATATATAGTAGGTATATCACATAGAGTGGTATGTGCCTTCGCATGTCCGGTGCCTTTTCTTATGTAAAAAGTGTAAAGTCAAAAACCGTGTTGGAGTGTCTAGCAAGTCAGTCATCTCAACTCTCAAGCCAAAATCAAGATTAACTTTCAAGTTAGCCACCTAGGTAGGCAAACCGAAATAAAATACAAACTATATTTATATAACAATCATGGACATTTTAAAAAATATGCAATTTTAATAATTCCTAATAAAACAAATATAATATGTACCTATTTATTGTGTGATATAAAATGATAATGACTTTAAATAATAATAATGTACGATATGTTCCTGTATTATTATATTATTATTTAATTTATATGAAAAATAATGTGAAAAAAAAATGCAAAAAAAGTCGGGATTTGGGCGGCCGTGTAAACCATATGGCATTATCAGTTTCAATGCCCGGACGGCGTACGACGGATTTGAACCCGGGACCTACGTGTTTCCTACCTAACGCCTAACCTACTCGGACACAGTTTGAGATATGAAAGACAGTGAAAACATCAACAATTAAGCCGTGCGACTACGGAGCGACGTAAACCGATATATTCGATGTACATCGATGTAATCGCATATAATTCGCTTGTAATACGCGCATCTCCCATATATATATTTAACGGGGCGTGTGAAAAGCGTTTTCCGTTAATAATTATTAAATCATAAGGAAAAATTAAATTATACACGTATATACATGTATATATACGCGTACGGCTGGTCGGTCGCCGGCGTAATTTCCAAACGCGATTGCGAGGCGAACGAACCGATTTTGGGGGAAAAGCGCATATAAACGGCTTCAAAAAGACTCGATTCGGACACAAACGGGTGCGATTGTGCGAATAGACGAAACGGAGGGAGAAAAGGAAAAAATCGGCAAAAAAGTCCGGTCGGGAGTGTATTTATTGATCGACATTGCACGAATATAAACCGCACACCGGTTACTTCGAATTAAGTATATAAAAGGGCGAAAAGATATCGTGTAAAAACAGCTAATTTTCCGAAAATCGGCGAAATGATAGGAAAAGAGGTGATAACGAAAAACGTTTTAAAACCGACCGCCGCCACTGCGAAGGTACGCGATTGGTCGCGCTATAAGGAATCGACGGGACATGGCCGGCGGGCTGGGGAAACGGAGCGGTGCTTCATTTTTTACTCCACGGTTTCACTCTAACTGCGTTTTCCGTTCCACGGGTTGCTTGTATTATCAGTCAGCTGTTCTTCATTTTATAGTATTAGAAGATTAGATAGATATAGATAGATATAGATAGATATAGATAGATATTAGGATAGATATT